GTACCAGGGAGCTCAAAGCATTTTTCATGTTTTTAGATCATTCCCTTAAGCACACTTGGAAGCTCCCACTTCAGAATCTGCACTTAAAGAATCTCTGAGATCCTCCCAAATAGTGGGAATTGAACCTAGTGTCTGATGCTTGCCCTACCACAGGCATATATCTCCAGCTCTCTTTTTATATTTTGAGTCAGGTTGGCCTTAAATCAGGGAGCTCAAAGCATTTTTCATGTTTTTAGATCATTCCCTTAAGCACACTTGGAAGCTCCCACTTCAGAATCTGCACTTAAAGAATCTCTGAGATCCTCCCAAATAGTGGGAATTGAACCTAGTGTCTGATGCTTGCCCTACCACAGGCATATATCTCCAGCTCTCTTTTTATATTTTGAGTCAGGTTGGCCTTAAATTTGCTCTATAGCTCAGGCAGACCTTGAATTTGTAATCTTCCTGCTTCAACCTCCAGATTAGCTAGGATTATAGGCTGATGCCATTAGGCCTGACTTTTTTCCTTCTGTTTTTTTTTTTTCTGCTTCTTTGAGACAGTCCAAGCTGGATTTGAACTTGCTATGTAGCCAAAGATGACCTTGAACTCCTGACCCTCCTACCTCTACCTCCCAAAAGCTAGGATTATAGTCCTGTGCTACCATGCCTGGCTCAGAAATTCTTTGTCAAAGACATTCAGGTATTTCTTAAGAGATGCAGAAGAGAAATTGCAGTTTATATACTGCAAAACATTTAGTAAATTGAAGAAATGATTGAGTTTGGTCTCTTGAAGGATTTTACTTTTGCTTTACAGTGCTTTTTATTTTTACTTTTTATTTGGGGGAGGGGCATACGTACCATGGTTTGTGTATGTGGAGGTCAGAGGATAATTTACAGGAGTCAATTTTCTCTTTACATCATGTGGGTCCTGGGAAATTGAACTTGAGTTATCAGACTCGACAGCAAATGCCTTTACATGCTGAGCTATCTCGCCAGCTCTGCTTTGCAGCTTTGTGAACTCTTTTTGACTTCATTTACAATGCTTTTGGTTTCCATATTAGTCCTTGAAATACCTTAAAATTATGTAGCTCTTTGGCTTATTTTCTATATAATTTGTTTTTATACTATCTTGTTGCCTTTCTGTCACTATAACAAATGCCTGATCTAAGTCAACTTACAAAGAGAAAAGGTTTATTTTGGACCATGGATTTAGAAGTTTCAGTTTGAGATTGGTTGGCCCTGTTGCTGCAGGCCTTTGATGAGGCAGCATATCACCACAGGGAGTGCATGGTGGAACAAACTTCACCATATGGCTAGGTGCAGGAGAGAGGAAGAGAAGGGTTTAGTGTTCTTTTTAAGGGCACACCCCCAATTCCCTAAAACCTCG